AAGGCAGGTTAGACCTCATAGAGAAAAGCGCCCAGTGTGGGTCCTCTGTTTCTGAGAATATGATGCCCCCCAAAAAGCAGAAGCTGCCCAACCACCATCTGAGCAGGGTTTAAAGAAAGATCTTTGACCAAATGCTTAAGGACACCTTGGAACAAATATTTAGAACAGCTATGAATCCGAGAAATACCCAAGTTACAAAACATCTAATGATGGTGGCTGAACTGAAAGCAAATAAGCTGGGATCCGGAAAAAAAGGGAATATTTCTGATTTGGACTATAGAGGACAACTGAAATGGAATAAAAAGCATATGATGTGTTCATTGAGGAAACACAGGATTTAGAAGGCAGAGGAAAAGTGGGGATACATTAAAGGAAAGCAGCTTGTTTTAGATCTGCCTGTGTGCAAATCCCACAGAAGGTTCATTTTTGTTCTTTATGTGCTGTTTCAGACCAAAATTATTTATATCTTGTAAATCGCACTTACCCCACTTCATGAAAGGCCTAGTAAATAAGAATATATACCATAAAAGCATTAAAAAAAAATTCTGATATTTTCCTTTAAATGCAGTGATTTGCAAACAGTAAGTTAATAAATGTTTTGTCTGATTGATTTCGATTAAGTTTAAAATTTCTTTTAGGGACACTGATTTTATCATAATTTAGTATTCACTTCTAAGCTGAATAAAAACGTTTAAGTACTATTTTACAGACTAAAAAAAAGGCCTGAATTTGGATCTTGGATATGCCACTAACCAATTCTATGACCCTGGGTTATTTAATTTCTATTATTTGATTTCCTCATCTGTAAAATGGGTATAATAATCCTTACTGCTTCCCAAGTGAGCACGTGGATAAAGTGAGACATCACTCCATAAGCCAGAGTCTAGCCAGTGCTTGGCACAGAGATGGAACTGATTAAATGCGAGTTCTCGTCCCTTTCCCTAGTGCATCATAACGTAATATGATATTTCAAATTTTAATTCAGGCAATTACTTAAGTAGTAATTGCTATTTGTATTTACATAGCTGCTTTGATCCAAGAAGCTCAAAGGGCTTTACTAAATTTAGCATTTTAATAAATGTTTCATTTGCATTCTGTTGATTCTGTTTACCCACACCAAAACTTGGAATTTCCTAACGCAAGACAATCAGACAGGGAAACAAGACGGTCTCTTTACATTTACAGTTATCCCAGGCCTGAGTTTTGTCTATTTCCCTAAAAGTTGAGACTCTCTGTTCCTATGGAATCAAATGACGGGAAGAGGCTTGAATGCACCTGCTTATTCTTGCAGCTCCTTTAGCTGCTGCCATTGAACTTGATCCCCACCACATTTTTCTCAGGCACTGACAACAGAAGCATGTTTATTGCACCAATGAATTTATATACAATCAGCACAATAAACATTATTAAATTGTCGGGAGAAAATCAAAGCATGAGGCACAGTGCCAGTACTGAATTCTAATGATGCTGATGTCCATGATTACGCAGGGACAGGATCTTAACAAGCCTTGATTTGAACGTTGGCATCCGCCTCACAAATCACATGGGCCGCTCCTCCCGTAATAGTGCTGAATATTGATAAATGTCCCTACCCTGCGCAACAGGGAAGTGGGTTTCTATTGGCAATCTTTACCAAAGTGTGTTTTTTCCCTTCTCTACACTCAAGGGTTTACCCTGAATGATTTAATTATAATTTTCCTTGTGTAAGACAAATTAAAGAGGAGAGTAGGAGTGTCGTGCCAAGCACATTATTTATCTCAACAGATTGCAGCTCACCAAACCCCAGAGCTGCTGCTACTGCAGTGGCTGCTCACAGGAGCCAGCAAAATGCACGGGGGCAAGAGTGGGGGAGAAAGAGTCTTCCAAATGGCATAGAAATAAATACGTGACTCAGCTGAGATCATTAGCCATCTCGCTACTTTGAAAATAAACAAAAACTCTCACAACACTACCTTTATCCAACAAATGTTCCCATCGAGTACCCCCAGATCATGTCAGAAAGAAATCTTAAAGCGGCTAACCCAAGATGAAGGTCATGGGGCAAGATGGTAATTCAGTGTGGCAGAGACTCTTCCTTGCCCATCAGAATGGAGAGAAAAGAATATTACACAGAAATCAACGAAGAGCTTGGAAGGACACATATTTCACAAATGCACTGGTGAGTAAGAGAGAAACCTTATCACAGGCAGTGACAAGAAACTCCTGAGACAACTGGCAGATGAGTGGACAGTGAGACCAAACCTTTACAGTGACAGGTTTTTTTGTTTGTTTTGGTTTTGGTATTTAACTGGGTATCATATGTGATTTTTAAATTAAGCCTAATAACATAATGCTACATAATATTCATTTGAAATGTTTATATGTATACAAAGCTGGCTAACTAAAAATTGCCTTTTTTTTTTTAAGCCACAGGATCTTGCTCTATTGCCCAGGCTGGAGAGCAATGGTGTGATCACGGCTCACTGCAGCCTCAAACTCCTGAACTCAAATGATCCTCCCACCTCAGCCTCTCGAGTAACTGGAACTCCAGGTGCATGCCACCACATCAGGTTAATTTTTTTTAAAAGATGTTTAATAGAAATTGGGGTTCCTCTATGTTGTCCAGGCTAGTCTTGAACTCCTGGCCTGAAGCAATCCTTCTGCTTCGACCTCCCAAAGTCCTGAGATTACCAGCATGAACCACTGTACCAGGCCTAATTGAGTTTTCAATTCTATAAGCTTAAAACTTCTGAATTATCTTTAACTGAAGGTGCTCATTTGCCTTGTTAGCTACATTCAGTTAAAATGTGCTGACTAGAATTTTTCTTTTAATCTAGCCACATCTGGGAACCTACCAGATAATATAAACTGAGAGATTCAAGAGATTAAGTAGTGGCATACAATTTCATAGTTGCTTCTTTTTTGCATGTACAACTGGAAAACTCAGCCTGCTTTTACAACCAGATTAAGGCTCATTAAAATCTGAATTCTTTTCTGATCCATATTCTAATTCTGGTGTGTAGTATAATGAAGATTAAGCACAACTTTTGTGCAGACAAATAAGGACTATAAAAAAAATTCAAACAAACTTAGTCTCCTGGAATCAGACTGTCTCTTAGATCCATTTACTTTCAAATGTGCCGTAAGACATGAAAAAGGCTATTCTTCTCCCACTTGCCTCCTTGCTAATCTATCACCTGACTGCAGATATAGAACCTTTTAGAAAATGAAACTGAGCGCAGTGCATCTAAACAAGAAGAGTTTTCTATGTCACAGGAAATCTGTGCAGGCTCCACAATGGCCGACGAGACTGCACTAAATACCTTAAGTGCATCAGTCGGCATTTTTCAGTGTATGGCCTCCTGCTCTGCCTATGGATAAAGATGTAATTCAATCGCTCTGCAGCAAATGGACGCATCAACCTTAAGACATCAAAACCAAGTACAGCAAAGGACAACAGCCTAGAACCTTTTCTTTAATGCTATCTAAGGTTTACTTTCTTGGGAAAAAAAAAAAAAGACACTATAAGAGACTGTAAAGCAAGAGCTAAGATTGGCTTCTAGACATACGTATCTATCCTCGCTGGAAACAACACAAGCCACATCTCACCCAATGGCTCCAAACTGATTCTTAGTGTCCACCCTTCTATTCTTCAAACTCTTCTAAACCAATATGCTTAATGCCTCTGTTAGTTCTCAGGTGTCTGCCTCAGAAATTCCAAAATGATCTTGGAAAGACAGTTGAAACTTTTAGTTAAAGCACCTATATATTATCCTCGTCTGATAATCACTCATGGTTTTATGCTTGAACATGGGAGTGTGAGAGAGAGTGTGTGTGTGTGTGTGTGTGTGTGTGTGTGTGTGTGTGTATGTGTGTGTGTGTGTTCAGATAATATTTTTCCGGTATAAAGATATACATCTAATTAAACCAGTAGGCTTCTTAATGCTCAATATTTTGAGAAATATAAGAAATTATATTTGTAACTCTATAACTGAAATATATAAAGTTTATCCCCTGAGCCATTTTGATTAAAAAACAAAATACAGAATTTGCCTTTTCCTGCTAGAAATGGCATTTTTGTGTGTGGAAGCTCTGCATATGAAATATATAGAAAACAGTTTAGAGACGGTAAACTCAAAAAAAGTTTTCAACTTTAGGAACTGTATTTTCTACTCTTGAAAAACACTGAGAACAGTAGCATTAATGCTTCTGGGTACTAAGACATAATAACATGAATTAACAGCTTTATTTTCTTAGAACTGCATGCTAACATAACCTATTCCAGATCTCTAAGACAAGCTCAGCTTCAAGTAACACTCATGTAAAGCCCAGGACAATTCAAAAATAAAATATCTTAACTTCTCAATAGGAATACAGCTGCTGAGACAATGCTACACTATACCCTGCCATGAAGAGAAAGTGTGCTTTGTCTGTTTATGTGAGTATATACAACAGACCCCCTCGTCCACCTGCTGCCACCACCACTACCTCTTCTGTCTCTCCATCCTCCAAACCTTCACGCAGAATACATACGGAAAAGACCATGTGCTCCGGGGCACAATGATGAAAAACATGGGCGCCCAGCCTTCAAGGGGAGCAATGTAGAGTAACATAAGTTCTATGTTTTCTCAAACCATAATTCAAAATTGCCCACAGCAGACACTACTATTCCCTTAGAAGGCACTTCCAGCCAAGGAATTCAGCTTGTACGGAGTGAGCACTTGGCAGAAGGAGTAGGTCTGGAAGCCTGGAAATCCAACCCATCCAATGAGAAACTACACGACTTCTGCCCGGGTTCCTAAGCTGAGAGTAGATCTACATAAGTGCTAATTCCATGTTGAAAAGGTGAAAATAATTAGATGTTTCACACCCAAACCATGCTGAATACATTCTTCAGTAATTATATGCACATTCAAGTCACATGGATCCAATTAGGGATCACTGAGATATAGCGAGGCAGGGCCACCCACCCCTCTAATGTGAAAGGCAGTTTGGGACCCATCTCAGTGGCTGGTTCCTACCTTTCCCTTTTGGGAGTGTGGACTGAGAGCTGTCCGTTGGTAGAGGCATGTGGGTTCATTATTAAAGAGGTCTTGGAAGGTGCAGAGGAGGACACACATGTCGTGGTCAGATCCAAACTGCTGTGATTGTTGCCTGTGGTTTCTTCTGCAGTATGAGCACTGGTTACTTCTTTCCAGAGCTGCTGCAGTTCTGTTGGAATCATGCCTGAAACAAACAAATTGGATAATTAAATCAATTAACAGCTAATTCCATCCTCTTCAAACAGTAATTAAATCAAAGAGTCAGTAAACAAAGCCTAGTGTTAGGGGGGTTTTTTGGTGAGTGCAGTTTTTTTTCCCTCCCAACTCAGGCAGATGTGGTAGTAAAAAGTGTGTCCTCCTACTGAGCCACTGAGTGGAAGTTGCCCTCCTCGCACATAAAAGATTCAGGTGAAAAGGATTCAAAACACAGTTGCTTTGCCACAATAATATGCCTCTAACCATCCAAAGTGCTATTTCTCAATTTTTTATGACAAAAAGTAGATCGATGTTACCTTAGTTTTAGACACAAAGGGCTCAAAATAAATTAGTTCAACTATACTATTATGACAATATGAACTACAAAGTGAATAATTTTTGTGCTTAAGTCTTAAATGATGACAAATAGCTTTGTTATTAAATATAGTTTTTATTAATCACTTTTAGACATAAATTATGAATTCATATCGTCTTCCTGAAATGCTTTTCAACTTTTAACAGTCAAATTGATTATACTATGATTATTTCATTAACACACCTATCTTCCTCATTAATTTCGGTTTTGAGTACCACATGTTTAATTGATGGATGTGTCTACTGAAAAACTGTATAACTTTTTATACAAGTAACACTATTATTACTGTCATTTCTTAGATCAATGGTAATGAACCATTGCAGAATAAAATGAAAACGTAAAATAAACTTGGAGTAATAAAGTTCTCTTGTTTTTTTTAAAGGGGATCAAAATGCACATGGGCCTTTTAAGGAGTGAATCCAGCATTTTCCCCAAGAAGACACACAATCAGTATACCACTGTCACAACTATGGGCCTCTTAGTCTTTATCCTGGTGGCATGCCTCTTGCAGCTCAGGGTTTCCAAATCCCACCTTGATGCAGATTCTAGCCGATACATGCACAGAAGAAAAATATTCTAGATGCCAACTAACAACAACAAACAGTAACTTCCTTTGGGGGAACACTGAAAAGAAACCATAAGCCCTGAACATCGTAAGGCAATACCACGTGAGAAGTGGACCTCTGGATTGCAGTTCATTGTTTCAATCAACTGTAACATAGCCTACCCAGAAAGCCTGCCATTTTCTGACTATACAGCCGCAGCCGAAACATGCATGTTTCCTACCAAACCTAAGGTATTGAATTAAAAAAGAAGGCTGTGCGCATTATATTCATTTGAAACACATAATAAAAAATGCCAAGGTCTAAATTTAATTTATTTTTGTCATTTAGAATACAATGGATAGATAATCATCTCAACGTGATCAGCCAAACATCTTTACTTTGCTAAACTGTTAAAGATTTTAATTATGCTAGCATTGGAGAGCACTGGTCTAATGAGGCGATGGACTCCAGAGAATCCGAGTGGTTAAGAACTGTGAAATGAGTCTGATAGGATTTTTTTATATTCACCGTGGATCGTTTGCATATCAAAGAGGAGTAAATTATTGCACAGCAGACCAATAACCTTCCCCGCCTTTCTGAGGGGAGCGTTAACAAAAACAGTTGGTCTCTCCTAACGGTTCTCCACGAAAATGTTCAAATGCTCAAGTATTTGCAATTAATATATATTATAAAGGAGGCTTCAAATGATACATTAAGTGGTCAGATATTCTTAGAAGGCATCCTCGACAGTTTTCTTCTCCCTTCATAAAAATCAAATGCCAATTACATTTTGATGGATTTTGTCCCAAATGAGCATTTAGTTATTAGGCATATTCAATTATTACTTGTCCCCTGAAATTAAACCTCGGAGGCAAATTAAACAAAGGGAAAGGTCACTCCACAATCCCATGTCCGGTTTTGCTGCATCTGGGCTATTATTTCCAAACACCTTTCCAAGTGACAGGTGGGACGCATCTGTAGCTAGCAGGCCTGCCACTGCTGTCTGCACACCAACAATTACCTGTGAACACGGGTGACCCTCAGACCACTGTTTACTCAATGGAAACAATAGTTAATAGGCTTGTCTGCTGATGATAGCATATTGATATAAAACCACACAAGTCAACACCTATTTTTATTTTCTAGAGAGTAAACACATGAAAAGAACAAGCCACCAATTTTTCAACTCAAACGAATTGATTTCTGGGTCAGCTGCATGGGAGACGGGAAGACGAGGACAGGGTTCTCAGAACTGTGTTAACTCCCACTTTCCCTCGAAGAAAAGCAGAACTTCGATGCTGTTTTAAAAGCAAACTGTTTAGCAAATAAAGACAAAGACAAATGTATTCACCACTTGATATACCTACAGGGTGCATTAATGTTACTCTGCTCGCCACCTATTCCAATGGGCTGGCACATCAGTTTCATTATCCATAGAGAAAAACAGTAAATAAAAATAGTGACTCATTAAGTGACAACAGCGATACTTCTGGGTCAAACTGCAATGTGATAATTACTTTTAAGAACGTTCTCAACACGCTTAACACAGAGGCAGTCAAATCGCTCTCCTCCATCGATGCCATGCATTGTTAGGGGTGTTAAACCGTTAGTTCAATGAACACTACCTACCAAAGGGTGTTGTTATGTGACAGCTAAAATCTCATGTTAGACAGATAAAAGGTAACCTAGTCACTCATCAGACTTAAATGGATATCAAATTTCCAGAAAGTATGCATTTCTTCCAAAATGGAAGACTAAGAATAGTACAAAGTTAAATCCATTAGCAGGTACATAACCAAGCATGTAATTTTCTGCTACCCAGAGTTTACATTTTAAAAATTAAAAGGTCAGGATGAGACTGAAAGAATATTTCTATATGAAATTACTGGTGCTAGGGAGGATCAGATGATTAATGAGACCAAGGTGAAAAGCAGATATGCTAATTATGTAAAACAGAGAGAAGACCCTACAATCACCTTAAAAACAACAGAAAATATCCCTCCATTTCATATTATAAAACCTTCAGGAAAAAAAAAGGCCTTCAAAATATTAATTATCTATCTATTCCTATACTTGACATTTCCATGTTTAAGGTTAACTCGGCAAGGCCATGAACAGGTATGTAAAATAATCTTGATGATTTCATTATGAAGTGGACATTACCAGTATCTTTAACAGATAACCCCTATGCCTTGCAAGGTTTCTTTTTCCAAGACAACTGGCCCCTTCATTATAGAAGAAAACGCAGGCACAGGTTTAAAAAATGTATGTTGTGGGGACAGATGACAGATTACTGTTCATGGAACTCAATTTTACAACCCCAGGTATCAGTGGCTCAAAGACAAACAGAGTTGATCAACCTTTTTTTGTCCTTGTACATCCATACCCAGGTGACCATGTTCAAGCAAGCAGAAAGTTGATTTAAACCTCATAATGACATCGGTTTTAAGCCATCATCTCTCTGATAAAAAAAAAATTGTGTTCTAGTCCAACATGACTGAATTCTCCAGCCACTTTGGGTGAGGGAGTTAGGGAACAAAACCAACCTTGATTCAAAGAGATGGAAACAGCACTGGTAGTCCACTTTACTGCAAGAACCTGACACCAAAAATATTTATGTTTACATTTATGCCATCTCAGGTGCACACAGAGGCACCCCTTAGACTTCAAATATGCTTCTTCCTAATGTTGCAGGGGCTAATCGTTATAGCAGACTGCTAAGCCTATCAATCAATGCCATGACTAGTGAATTACCTACCAGTGTCTCTTGATATGTTACTGCAGAGATTACACTTCATGCATCACCACATTCATTTCTTTCACATTACACATGAGCTTGTCTTGTCACTGCCCAATTGCCCTCTTTTGGACAGCTTAACTGATGTACTATAACAATGAACCTTAGTGAGCAAACTTAGTAGTATAGGAGTGGTGGGAAAAGATGAGAGAGGTTGGAGCTTGGGTCCAGTAGGTGTGTCAGAACAGCCTGCCATGTTTCCAGCAATAAACCCAAAGGTGTAATTAACGTATGCTATGACATTCTGCAAGCACAAAAATGCATTAGCTGATGTACATATATATATATATATATATATGCCTTCTTTTCTCCTTGTATTGCTTGGTTATGACATCTTCTGTTTTGACAGTGGAGATGCTGAGTATGTATCGAGCAGTCACGGCAGAAAGGAGTGGAGGGGCAAGAGAGAAGTTAAGAGGAAAAAGCCCTGGTCTCAATATTAAAAACAAAAACAGACTCATAAGGGAAAGAAGATGGGTGTGGTTGACTCAAGAGAAAAGATCAAATGCAGACATGCTTCCCTGGTCATGCTTTCACTTGACCCCAAAAGTTACCAAACAAATGACCATACCTTAAGCAACAGAAGGAGGTTCCACATTTTTAACCTTCTTCAGAAGGCAACTGAATCGAAGACACCAACGGCTTTAGCTACTAGCCTTTAAGGCACATATAAACCAACATCCAAACTTACTAGAGTTCAAAGAACTTCTGGCCTTGAAGAGGCAACTCAACTCTGCTCTACCATGCATGGATGGGGGAACTGCGCTTCAAAACATAGGCATGGCACTTTCTACTTTCTCTTTCCTTCCTTCCAGCCTGTCCGCCCTCCCTCCCTCTTGACATCCCTTCCTCCTTCCCTCCCACCTTCCTTTCTAGTTCTGAATAATCCATCTGCTTTCACATCACATATGTGAAAGTCAGAGTTGCTTAAACCAAGACAATGTCCTAAAAACGCCTAGAGTTCCCATTTGTTTCTGATGTCCATCACCCTCAGGATAAAATGTCAGTGGGCTTTTCAAAAGAAATTCACTAAATGTTTAAAATCTTACTCTTCAAGAAATCTCAGAGGTTGAAGAACTGGGGATGGAAATGGTACCTGTTCTGATGAGTGCAGAACTAATTTGTTCAAAAATCAACAGATGAATGTCAAAAGAAAAAAAAAAAGAAACTAAACAAAAAACCACCTTGGCTGTCGTAACAGAAAGTGGTTGATTTTAACCATTTACAGAAAAGTAAACCTGAATTTATCCCTAGATATTAAAACATGGCATTTGCTAAGATTTAAAATAGCACACGTTACATGGTTAAAAAAA